TAAAAGGACATGAAGTCAGAATTAATCTTAATACTTCTAGACCTTACCCTCCAGCATTAAGAAAAGCTGCATACCCAGCATCCCCAAGAAGCAGAGAAGCCTTACAACAACATGTAACTGACTTAGTAAAAATGAATGTACTTAGAAAAGTTGGTGCCAATGAAAATGTTGAAGTAACTACTCCTGTAATTATTGCGTGGCATAATGGTAAATCTAGAATGGTTGGAGATTTCAGAGCTCTCAACAATTACACAATTGCTGATAGATATCCAATGCCTAAAATAAGTGAAGCCATCACGCAACTACAAAATGCTAAATATATTACGTGTATGGATGTACTTAAAGGATTTCATCAAAATGTTATTCATGAAGATAGTAGACACTTAATGAGAATTATTCTACATATGGGTATTTATGAATATTTGAGAATGCCCTTTGGAATTAAAAATGCACCCTCTCACTTCCAAAGAATGATGGATACTGAATTTCATAAAGAATTACGTGAAGGATGGCTAATAATTTATATTGATGACATTATTATTTTTAGCACTGAATGGAATGACCACCTTGACAAATTAAAAATTGTTCTAGAAAGAGTTATAAAAATGAATATGAAGATCTCTATGAACAAATGTCAATTTGGTTTTCAAGAACTTAAAGCATTAGGCCACATAGTTTCAGGATTGAGCATAGCTATAGATAAAAATAAAGTAGCTGCAGTAATGTTAAAACCTATGCCCACCAATGTTAAAGAAATACAGTCATTCCTTGGTTTTGCTAGTTATTATAGACAACACATTAAAGATTTTGCCAAAGTAACAGGTTGTCTATATAAATTAAGTAGCCCAAACACTGCTTTTGAGATGACAGTAGATAGAGTAGCTGCATTTAATAAATTACGTGAATTACTTACTTCTGCTCCTATATTATTTATGCCTAATCCTAATAAGCCTTATAAATTATATGTAGATGCTAGTATGGAAGGATTAGGAGCTGCCTTACACCAAATTCAAGATCAAGAAATACCAAAAGAAGGAGTCATTTGTTATATTTCTAGAACATTGAAAGACAGTGAGAAAAAATATGGGGCCAGCCAACTTGAATGTTTATGTTTAGTCTGGGCCCTAGATAAATTATATTATTACCTTGATGGATGTGAATTTGAAGTCATTACTGATTGTACGGCCCTCAAAAGTTTATTAAGTATGAAAACTCCAAATAGACACATGCTCAGATGGCAAATAGCTATTCAAGAATGGAGAGGAAGTATGACTATCAAACATAGAGAAGGTAATATACATAAAAATGCTGATGGACTTAGTAGATGGTCTTTGGAAAATATACCAGACAACCCAGCATGGGACGGAGAAATTGCTGCAAAAATTATGTGTTTATTCCCAGAGGAAAATAATGAAAATAATCCTGCCTTTGATGATAGCAATGATGATATTAATATTTGTGGGTTACACGTGACTGAAATGCAAGAAGAATTTTGGGATTAAATTAGAATTAGTTATGACCAAAATAAAAATTGCTCCACAATAAAGAATATATTACAAAGTAATTTCAAAAATAATGATCTGATCAATTCCTTAGAAGAACCATGGCTTAGCTCATTCAAAGAAAATAGATTCTCTCTATTAGATGGATTAATTTACCACAGAATCAAACATACAAGTGTAGTAGTTATTTGTTTAAAAGAACACATTAATTTATTTTTGAAAGAATGTCACGACAATATATCCTCAGCTCATTTTTCCTTTGACAGAACAATTGAGAGAGTTAAACAAATTGCTTGGTGGCCTAATTTTAGAAATGATACCAAAGATTATTGTGAATCTTGTGACAGATGCCAAAAAGCAAATAAAGCTACAGGAAAAAGGTATGGATTATTGCAAGAAATTGAAGAACCCAAAGAAAGATGGTCTGTTATTAACATGGATTTTGTTACTGGCTTACCACCCGGAGGACCTAATAATTTCAATGCAATTTTAGTAGTAGTTGATAGATTTTCCAAAAGAGCAAGATTTCTACCATGTCATAAAGAAGATACAGCAATGGATACTGCCTTATTATTTTGGAATTCTATTATTTATGATGTTGGATGTCCCAGATATATCATTACAGACAGAGACCCTAAATTTACGTCAGAATTTTGGAGAAATTTATATGATTTATGCGGGACACAACTGAAATTTTCTACAGCTTACCACCCCCAAACAGATGGACTAGCTGAAAGAATGATTCAAACTTTGGAAGACATGATCAGAAGATATTGTGCCTATGGAATGACATTTAAGGATAAAGACAACTATACTCATGATTGGTGTTCATTATTACCTGCACTTGAATATGCTTACAATTCTAGCAAACACAGTACAACAAATAAAACACCTTATGAATTGGAAAGAGGTTGGACTCCTTGGTTTCCCAAAGAAATTTTAATGTCAAAAGCAGTACATATACACCCCAGTGCCTCTGATTTTCATTTTATGATGACCAAAGCTGAAAAATATGCAGCAGAATGCGTGAAATTAGCTGTAGATCACAACAAAACTAGATGGGATAAAACTCACAAAGCTCACCAGTTTAAAATTGGAGACCAAGTCTTGATATCTACATTTAATTTTACAAACCTGACTGGACCTAAAAAATTAAGAGATTCTTTTGTAGGACCTTTTACAATCAAACAATTACACGGTGCAAATGCTGTTGAAGTTATACTCACTGGAGAATTAGAAAGAAAACACCCTACATTTCCAGTCAGTCTAATCAAACCATACAAAACTAGTGATAATGATAAATTTCCTTTAAGAAAAGATAACATCAGAGTTGTAATACCTCCTTTAGAGAAAGAAGAAATTAAAATTAAGAAGATATTACAACATAGAAAAATCAGAAAAAACAATGAGGACATTAAACAGTATTTAGTAAGATACAGTGGTACCAAAGAAGATGAATGGCTTACAGTTGATAAAATACCTGATGCTGATAAAATTCTCAGACAATACAGAGCTGATAAAAGAAAATAACATTCATTTATTTCTTGGATCAGCCTTTTTTAGAGGGAGGAAGTGTCAGCCACAGAGTACATGTCACAGTACCTTTCATGTACCAAGTAACTGCAACACCTGTACTTATGTACATAAGTACTTATCCATAATGTTGATTACCTTTACCTCTTGTTATCTTATTATTATCATTAACTTATCTTATCCTATTTATCTTACATTTATCTTATCTGTTAATTACTTATCTATTTAAATACATACCTGTGTTCTACATAAGTAATTATCACTTACCTTTCACTCCCTTGTCCGTGAAATACCTGTACCACAAGTTATCCCTCTGCTACAGTATTTTCACGGTCAAATATTATTACAAATAAATATGTACATGTATTAAATAGTAAGTATTAAGTGTCAATAGAATTAATACATTCAATACATGCACAGATCACAATTATGACTACATTATTAGAGGATCTGTTAAGTACACATCAAGAGCAACTAGTACATTGATCAACTAGTACACAATTATGATGTCACTTACAGATCATGACAAATAATGATCAGTCACTCAATTGATGTGCTCATTCTCCTGGCCAAAGCTCCCTTGATTCTGAGCGCTCATTCTTTCCCCCCTTCAGTATTCTGGAACTTATAATCCGTGCCACTTCCACTGATTAATCCCCAGAATATTCAGACACCAGTTAAACCAGTTAACATTTATATTGATACAGTACCCGTAACCAACATAAATCTTGTCTACATTTATTGTTCTTAAGCTTCAGTACTCTTACTCAACTTATCCACAGTATTCATAGCCTTGCTGAATATTCCCATCAACAATACCTGTTAATCTTCAACTAATTTTGTTAAAGCTTAATAAGTATTGTTAGCCCATTCCCTTTGGGGAATAACCAAATCAATCCCAGGTGAGTCTTAGTACCCTGGATGCCTATTAATACCTTGTATTGATCCGGATGCGCTGTTGATAGCAAGCCTCTCAGTAAAGACCATACTGATAGAGTGAAACCTCCTCTTTACAGGACTGGTATTAATCACCCACTACCTAACACTCACCACGCTCAAAAACTTCAGTCAACTCATAGTAACAACCTTTTTACTATTAAATACTCAGGTTAGTTACCCAGAGGCTGACAATAGCGTCCTTTCACGATCATCCATGTATTCAAAAAGCACAAACGGGGCTGCTTGTAAGACAATTCGGAAGTCCTTGCCAATGAAATTTGCGAAGTGATTGGTGAGGTACGATGCCTGAATTGAAGGGATATTCAGGCCGTCGATGTTGAATGTTTGATACCGGGCTTTCACCTGAAGTTTTTCCTCGGCTGACAGGTGGCGCATGAAGTCCCGTACCATGTACTTCACGACACCAAGAAGAAATACATGTAGGATCTCAACAGGGGTGTCACGGCACCCATCAAATCCTGGCAACATGAGGAGACAATTGATGTGTCAACGTGTGCACCTGGGTGGTAAACCTGTGATCAACAAAACTGCTCCATAACACTCACCAGGGGCCTCAAAGTAAGGGTTGAACAATTCTCCAGGGTCAAACCGATCAATCTGGTTTATCTTCTCCAGGAATTGCCTCTCACTGTCCGTAGGGTCGTGGCCGGATTCAAGCACCTCATACCTCTGGTCAATCACAGCCCTGTTGATCATGTCCTTCACCCCATGTGTAGATGAGCTGTTGCCAACGGCTGTCTTGGTCCTTGGTTTTTTGGCCATGTCCCACACTTTGTAGCATTGGGATTTTATCTGCTCCCACAAGCGCGGCGGATGTTTTATCTGTCCTCAGAGGAATTTTGAACATCAGCTATATTGCAACACCTGCAGGCAAGATCTGCAGCAAACTCACCCAAGACCCTGTGGGGCCAATCATAAAGAAGAAGCGAACATAATCGAGTGTTGCCTTTGCTCTGACACTTGCGGCCGACAGAGCACATGCCCGGCAAGGGTGGAGGGAATTCCCAGGATTCGGGGTGCTGGTAATCTCGGCGTGCATTGGTGAGTCGCCAAGGAAACACAATATGTGTGAAACCAACAAGACCTCCTCTTGGAGAGTGCAATCAAAGGCTGGATAACCTTCTGACGCCAGCATTCTACAGATGAACAGTCATTTGAGATCGATCAGCCTGGATGATCAGAGTGGAACTTCAAAGGACACATACCGTAGGTCAGAGACTATTGGGGCAGCCAGCTCCATTGCGCCAGCAATATTTGAGGTGGTCAAATAGTGACAATTGTAGTTTTGATTTGTCCAACGTGGAGGGAGGCCGGACAAGGTGAAATAGTAAGATATGTGTTTGTTCCAACGCTTGGATTGGTTGCCTGAGGTGTCGTCTGAATACAAATTGATTGGAAGATGCCTGATCACTCTGCCGTTTGCCTTTGTGCGCCATGGGTTGGGCAGGTGGTGCCAGGTTGTTTGAAGTTCTCCTAATTCTGATTGATCATTACAAACAAGCTCAGTTGAATCAAACAGCAATCAACAATACACAATGACTTCCTAACCGTAAATTGATTCCCGACAGCGAGTAGCCAGCAATTCACCCGCAGCGTCAGTGATTTCTGAATAGTCATAATCAAATTCAGACACTTTAACAGTTCGAAGGCTGCTACAACCAAAAGGAATTCCAGCCGGGAAAGTCAGGCGGAGCTGGGATCCATCACCGACAGGTTCATAGTGGGGGACGGCACACTTTGAGTGCATTTCTCCAGCCATCTGAAAAAAGAACAGAGGAATGACAACTTCATCATTTTTCAACTGTACCGGCTCATACAAATACCAATCGTGGCCAGATGAACGGTACATTGGTGCCCTGCACGCGGGATCGAGGTCTGCAAGCCACTTGACAGACTGAGATAGCTTATAAACATGCTGACCATTGGCCTCTTGAGGGTAGTAATCGATCACTGGGCTGACATGTGGATTGGCCACTTCTTGTGCAAGTACCTTTGGAAGGCTCAATCGATAAGTGGGCGTCCCAAATATTGAAACACTTGGCAAGACATCAAAATCAAGCAATGATCGAGTCCTTTTCTTTTCGCGCCGGACAGTTGTCCAGTCGGGTAGAGTAATATTGTAGAATTTAAACATCAGGCGGATATGTGCGTAGAAAGCTCGAGAAACCATATGGTGGGTGTAACCAATCAAGAGGGACGCAACCAGATACTGGCAAATGGTAATAAGTTAGACTTTTATCCATTCAATTGGTCTGTCTGGAGTGTATATCCACAACATACCTCTTTGCTCTTGTAAGGCCACCACGGGTTATTTCCTCGAGCATACCGACGGCGTGCGGCCTCTTCATCATTGCTGACCCCGGTTGGATTGGCTGCATAGGATTCATCCGGCTCAGCAAAACTTGGATGGTTGGGCAGGTCCCATTCCTCATCGTCGGCTTCATTGTTGGAGTCGTAATCTGACAGTTCAGATTCAGAGGCATATCCAGACCTAATTGATTCTGACCTCGAATCACTTGAGAAGTCCAATCGATCATTAGTCCCGTCGGATTCCTCCTGGCGTGCATGCACATCGGGTTCGTTTTCAATGCCCTCCCATGGGCACCATGCCGCGGTCGTCTCCGCATCCTCATAAACCTCGGGTGTGATTGCTTGCGAATCACCTATCAAATAGTCATTTCGCGGGTCGAGGACGGTCACACGTTCTCCAGATTCCCGAGCGGCGTAGAAAGCACTGAGCGCGGAGGTATGTTTTTCGTATCTGACGTGCTTGTAAACCGACTTTTCAACCATGGGTCGCGAATTGCACACCATGCAACTGTACATGGCTGGTGTCGAGGATGAATCAAGACGCCATACGGCTTGATTGGAATCCAGCCAATTCAACCCGATGATCAATCCAATTATTCCATTACAGAAAATGACAAAAAAAAGGAGCTCACATGGATCTAACACAAGCTCTGGGTTCCGTCGGCGGCCCATCTTTTTGTTGTTACTGGTGCGGGGAAGCGAGTTGAACTAGAATACCAACCAACGATCTTTGACCCCAGCGGTATGTCTTAGGGACTTGAAACAATTCGAGGGAAAGGAACTTCAAGGGGTGGTAAGTCTTAGACACACACACACACACTTGGATCTGATCGTGTAACAATTCACAGGGAGCCAGGTGCTATGTCTCTACCTTGTCACCAAGCTGACCCAAGGGATTGCGGAAGGCGTGTTGGCCCGGCGGGCGTGTGTGAGGATCGAATGTAACCTCCAGCTCACAGACCTGGAGCCTTGTGACCAAGTGCCACTGTCCGAGAGATTCCCAGGATCCCCAAATTAGCTGATAGCCGAGGGCTTATGGGTTTCCAGACAGGTTTAACTCCTTCAGGGTGGGAATTTTATGGTGATTGCTTAATTTCACCAACTGCAAAGGCCATCTTGGCCGGTCCAAAGAGCTCCCCCCCCCCAGTGTATTTACTTTATTCCGTTTTTAACAAGCCGAAGTTGTCCAGCCAAATACACGCTGCACCCACTCGGGTTATAGCTTTATTGGCTTTAGCTAAATTGCCAAGCAGGCCGACCCTCGGCAAATTTACGCAAGTCTGTGTTGCCAGGACAGGCCAAGGATGACCCTACGCAGTGCAAAGGATTTGACTGAAAGCGTCACAATCGTGCAATCTGCTGGCCTGCGGGGTCTCAGGCTTCCCAAAGAACCTTAAAAGGCAAGTCACCCGTTGGTCACGTTTCTCCTCCATCTCGCACTTGACCACTCACATCCGATTTGTGTATAATTTTTTCAGCTGTTAAACCGAATTTCATCATCATCATCAATCCAATTTTTCATTCATCATGTCAGACTATGTCCCCACCGATTCCGAGAGCGAGCAAGAAACCCGTGACACCACCCACTCACCAGACCGACCCCAACCCCGCCCTCCTCCTCGCCAGACCCAATCCCAGCGGAGTCAGGCTGGTCCGATCCGTGGATCGACCCCGCGAGCTGGTCGCCAGCCTGCCCAATGGATCCCACCCTTGAGGGGTTCGGTGGCCGCAGCGGCGAGGGCGGCGGCGGCTGCAAGCCGGCGAGCCACTAGCACTACACCAGCTCCGACCCAGCAGGTCAGGCCCGTCAGGGCAGGTGAGTAGGAAGAGACTAGCAGCTATGCTACAGCCGCTGACTCTGATCTGTTATGTAGCCGCTGTGCCCACCTTTGGGTCCACTCCGGGGCCGGACCGCCGCACCGTATTAACCTCGGAAACTCTTGTGGACCCGGAAGAAGTGCAGGTCACCGCGTTCGAAGGCTTCCCCAATGGCATCATCAACATGGATCATGTTGATGACCCACTTGATGATGAGTTTGTCCAGGAGCTCGAGGGGCTGTTTGAACTCAGGCGAGGTTATGCTCGTGTCGGGGAGTCGCTGGCATATGTAAGGAGAAACCCATTGCCCATCTTAGCCTCGTCAACATTACCACTCTGACAGCTTTATTTAGGTGGCACCCCCCCGGCAGTACGCCATCCACCTCTACAGCCAGCTGGCCATACTGCAAGCAATCGAACGATCTCGGAGTGAAATACTTGCGGCTCCGCGTGCACCTGCGGCACCTGGGGTCACGCCGGCGGACCAAGCTCGAAGTTTTCCGTATGCCCCAGTGTTCAAGGTACTCCACCAGATGTGTAGAACCCTACCTTATGTGTTCATGCTAATCAATAGTGTGCTCAATTGAATTGCCAGGACTTCGTCAAACGACAGGCTCGTGAGCTCCTCATGAGCAAGAACCTGAAAGTCTACGGGTCTGATGTCCCTCGTGGCTCGCCGGCCACACTCAAGAGTTTGTTGGTATTGGTATTGGTCAGTCAGGTCTTGCAAGCGTTTCCAAAAGACCCTTGTTATTTCTACAACTGATGCATCTGTGCATGATCATGCAGGATCACATCAATGGCCAGCCCGCAAGCTTCAAGCGAGATTATCTACCTCGCGGATATGCAGACGGTGATCCAGGGGCAGTTGCTAGCGTTGATAGCCTTGTAAGGAGTAAGTTGCGGAAGAGTCGTGGCATTATGCGAGACTTGGTGAGTCATGTCGATTTGTGGCCGAGCGGAAAGACTGGGGGGTTTCCAAGGGGCTGAATTTTTTCTGAGCCAGCTCCTGACTAACATTCAAGCGCCGAAGGGGAGGGAAATAACTCATCCGATACCCACTATAGCTGCATTGATGATCGATGTGAGTAGTATTTCCTGTAGGGATGGTTGAGGCTGAACCCAACTTACCATGCGATTGCCTTGCCAGATGCGGACGAGTATGACTCCAACGCTTCCAAACAGCACTGCTCTCGTCGCCGCGAACACTCAAGAGGCCCGGGGCCATCAGACACACTTGAAGGCCCGACTTGCTTACCTCCGCATATTGACGATTTTTCATTGGGTCGCCAGGGGTCCCCGTGACGCCGGACGACAGTGGAGGAATATTGACGAACACTTGCGACATTTGGATGGGATGGGAAGAAGCTATCGCACTGCGTGAGTCCGATCTCAACCTGATACAAGGTCATCTGGCGGCTCATGTTGAAATCGTGTTTAGATTTTTCCGTCTTATTCTGAGGCTGGACCGAGCCCTGTTCAATGGTGAACAATTTTTCGCCGGAATGGACACCAACACCATCAAGCTCCCCACTGACCAGGAGGTGGAGAGTTTGATGGAAACCTCGGGTGACAATGGTGACGATGCCGAGCTCGATGACGCTACATTGGCTGGGCCCTGATCTTGTGGTCTACTTCCGAACCGCTTGGTTTGACGGCGGGCTGTCATTCTTCATAGCGTATACGCCGTGTCGGTGTTCCATCTCCTTGCTTGAACGATGCACCCGTTGCCTTTCATTTCCCTCAATTTTCCTTCTCAGCTTGTGTTTTTCTTCTCTTTTCTTTCACATTCCCTGCCGTCTTTGGGCTTTTTCATTTTGTCTCCTCACTTCTTCATCTCACTTTGTGCATAGGTCTACTTCTGTCTATAGTTCAATGTATGTATGTGCACCCGAAACCCTCCGATACCGCGAGCATGCGTAGTTCCGTTGGTAGCTTCCCTGTGCACCCTGACGATGCGGAGCCCGGGGAGCATAGATGGGACGCACTTTGGATGGCTCACAAAGGCAACCAGAGCGGAGGCTGAGCAACAACGGATCGTACCACCGCCAGCTCTATGTCGGAGACCTCTAAGAGGTTAGCCTCGGTTCAGAATCAGTGCGCCCGCTGGACGACGGACTGGAGAGCCATGAGCTCCCGTCTTGTGTCCTGGTGTGCACTGAACCCGCTCGTCGGCTGTCCCCTCAGGAGGAGGACAACCTGGGGGTGTGATTCGGGTGATCATAGAGCACATCCCTGGGATGGCAGCGGGACGGCCTGGCCGAACGGCCTGGGGCCGGTCTTTTTTTTTGGCATGGGGAGCGACTATGGGCTGGCCCTAGTGGTTGTTGGGGTCGTCCGCGGGCTGTCCCCTGATGGGCTATCCCAGGGCTGCCCGACTGCACCCGCGGTGTACTCTTCATAGAATTTTCCACATATCTTCCAACCACAATCTGGCCACTCCCCAGAATTTTGTATATAAGGAGCTTTGTTTTTCCTCTTCATTTGTTCCCCATCAGATCCTGCCCCAGCAATTCAGATAACTGATCACCCATTATTAGCCAGGTATTTGCCCATCAACATTTGGGATACCTTGATTTGTGAAACAGTATATTTAGACTAGTAAACATAAGACATATTAGACATACCATCCTCAAGAAATCTCCAAAGCCACACCTTTACTTAAGAGTCCATACTCTTATATTCTCTTGTTATCAGAGAGGCAGCCCAATAAAGCACTCATCCCTCTCAAGCTCTATTCCTCCCAAGAGTAGTTCCACAAGTGGTGTCCCAACAGTGGCCCAACAGATCTTTTGGTTTCAGTCACTACCACTTACAGTTTCTATGCTAAATATAAAGTCACAAATTAGCTAGTTACTACCAACCATATTAGAATTCAGAATTCATATACCTTATCATTCCCTGCAGAAATCTTCATTGGTAAATCTGCATCAAAAAAAAACATCATTGGATCAACAGCAACAATATTATAACAGTAGAAATCTCAACAACTTCTCCACCACCATGAATTTTTCACCTAGAAGAAACTCCCTGTCTGGACCTACCCCTAGGATCAACATGGCCAATTTGGTCATCCCAGCTTGGAGAGGACAAGTCTTACCTACTCAATTACCTCCTGTTCATTACTATAATTCTGGAATCACATTCTACCAACCTCCTCCTGCCCATACTCCAACCTTTAACCCTGGACCAATGAGACATCCCCAACCTTCAGAAAGTGACAACCTGGAACCTTTGGGAATTCAAGAACCCCTTTACCACCACAGGACAGAACGTCAGGATACAGGACCACCAGGGCCAGAAAAGAATACTCCAGCTCAGCCAACTCACCCTCTGGAACCCAAGAAATCAACCCCCATCCACTTTCTGGAAAGAGCAGAAAAATTGAGCATTATCTACAGACCCAAATATGGAATGCATTTCACCAAGGAGGAATATGCTAGAAAGGATTTGCAATGTTTTGTCAGATCCACTATAGGCATGGGAGGAATAAAAAATCTAGAACACCTCCAGCTATTCAGAATCCAATTTGAAGCAATCACTCACTACCTCATCAGAAATGGTCACAATTTCTACATGGATGAATTTTCAAACTACCTTTGGAGATCCCTCAGCCTAAAGTTGGAAATGTTAATATCTGATCCACTTATCTGGGATGGTCACTTGATTTTGGGAGCAAATTTTCATATTGCCGAGGGACCATCCTATGGTGTTATTCTGGAGTATATTGACAGGGAGTTCAACAAAATGGACAAAATACAGGAAGATTGTGATCAATCTGCACAAGAAATTGGACAAAACAATCAGAATCAATTCTCTCAAAGGATCATGGAATATTTTAACTCAGAAATCCAGTTACCACTCACAGAAAGTTTCCCCCCAATACTTTCTTCAAATTTGGATGCCTGCCCCCTGACCTTAGAAAATGATCAATCCCTGGAAGCCTTGGAACCCTTGGACAACACAGAAACCGAGCACTTTGGATCAGAAACAGAATTCATTTCAGAAATATCCTCACCAGGTACCATGGTTGAAGAAAATTCCTTCCCAGTAGCACCTCTCACCTTGGAATCTTCCCCTCAGCCCCTGGAAAATGGCCCTCAGCTCCTGGAAAATAGCCAGAATTTGGATCCCTTGGATAAAAATCAATCAGTATATCTTGGATCAGAAAGTGAACTTTTTGCAGAACCCATTTCCCCAGAAGAGACTTTACCAGTATTCCAAGTTGAAGAGACCCCAGTTAATCCTATTCCTGGATTGCAAAACTCCCTGACAACACTGGTGGAAGAGAAAAATGAGGAAAAATTTGGTCAGCATATCAAACCAGAGGATGTATCAACCTTGGATTCAGTACAGTCAATTCAGTACCCCACAATAAATTCCACAGTATTTTTACCTGAAGGAATTGGAACCCCAGAAGAACCCATTTCAAACATTGCACCCAACTTATTTCTAGAAATTGATTATATTCCCAATTCACAATTGAATTCCATGGAGACCCTTGTTGCAGAACCTCTCTACAAAGATGCAAAAGCTGCAATTTTTTACCAGGAAGCAGTTTTTATTCCTACAAGCCAAGGATTTGATCCTCAGAGAAACTTCAACAACATATTAGGACCCTACAGCAAGGAAACAGACCCTGGAAAAACAAAAGAAATGATTTTTCAATCAGCCTCCATCACAAAATTTTTCCCAGAATATTTTTCTCCTACCACCCACCAAGAAACATTTCCACCCTTCAAGCCCCCAGCTATCAGTCAAAATTGTCCTGGTCCCCCTCTGGTTACCCTGGAATTAAGGTCTGACCTGACAAAACCTATGGAAAAAATAAAAAAGGGAGTAACATCAATTAGAATCAGATCCTCAGAAGTCATTTTTTCACTCCTTGCTTCAGCTGAAAACTTCACAATTGGAAAATTTTCTCCCTGGATAATTGATACATGGAACAGAAAGAAGATAAACACTGGTTTCAGCAGGAATTGTTTGGGAAAATCAGAAGAAATCTCACCAAAAAGTCTTTCATCAGCAATGCCTTATCCACCAAACGGGAGTTTTGCAGGTATGAACAGTCTTCTGTTGTTGGTTTTTTGCTGCTTGGTTTTTTCACCTTTTGGTAACAAGCAAAACCAGATAGGATACTTCCAAGGTAGCTATCACACCAAGAAGTTAGGGAATCTGTCTCTAGAATCAACCGGCTTGTGTTTTCTTGGATTAGATTATCACTCTTTCATTGGGAATAGTGATTTTAGGCAGAGAGGAATTCAGATTTCGCTCGGAGGACATTTCAAAGAAGGCAAAATTTGTGTGCAACTCATGGAATCCAAAGAATCAACGGCCTTGGTTGCATCAACCAGAAAAAAATACAAACCAGCTACAGGGCCTCAATACCATTTCAATTGGGAAGCGACCAATGGAATATCCAAGGAAAGACAAAGATCAAATTGCTATCAGATTATTCTTCCTATCACAAAATTAGAATACACACCATCGATTGGAATTCTTCTGAATAAAGCATGGGCTATGGAAGTCAGATTGACTGCCCTTGTATTGCTTGAAATCCATTATCTGTTTCGGAACGATAACAGGAATCAGAGATCAATCAGCAATCATTTGTACTGGAAGATCCAAACAAGCGGGAGTGGCTTACCATTTAAATCGATGAAGATGACTGGTATGTTTTGGAATTTTCAAAGGACTTGGCAGGAGAGGCCAATCAACCAATGGAAGCGACCAATTTCGCCAAAAGACAGCTCCAAAGCTGAAGTTACAGATTCAGTTTCCTTAGAGTATCGGAAGAGAAGAAAGGCAATTGAATGGATGGTTCAGGAGACAGGTAGCTTCCAAACAAGACAAATAAAACGATCAGGTAGACCGTTGTGTTTTAAGCTTTTATTTTGCGTACAGGAGAGCAAGATCACAAGCAAGCAACTGATCCCATCGAAATTTAGTTTAAAGGATATCCAGGATAGATTTCAGTTAAGCAAGAGCGAGGGAAGAACCATGCATAGCTTAACTTTTTCAGTATACAATGAAGAAGTACTTCGCCAAGCTGGAGCCGACAGGAGGGGATTGATATCTACAGTATCCTTGGTTCGCTTGGAGGATAAATCAGGAATGATAACAAAAGAAAGAGAGATCAATGAAAATCCAATTGCTTTAGCAGTTATCAGCTGTCAATTGTTCAACAGACAACGTCGGAGTTGTCTATCACACAAAGAAAGCATCAAGACTTACACAAATCACCTTGCTCGATTGTTTGACCCAGGTAGCATGGGGGATAGAAATCACACTAAGAATAGCAAGAGGCGAGGCCAAAGAAGGTGGACTCCAGATAAACTTGAGGAAAGTAAGCCCGATCTAAGGCAATGAGCTTTATCTTACATTGTACCGGAGCAGCAAGTGACGATGGCTGTTTCCAAAAGTCTGCAACCCTTGTCAAAGGCTTGCTGCTATGGAATCCAAGGAGGAGGCTTCCGACATGTGTCATTGCCTATCACTACTTAGTATTGGACACCCAGAATCTTGATTGGCTGATCAAGCAACTACATGTTTACTGAACTCACTAGCAAAGCCACCAAGTTGTTGGTTTCACCTGGCTGTGGGGCTATATCATAACTTTTTACAATTGCTTCCTATCACTCCCCTGGGCTGTAGCCTTGTACAAGCTGTTTCAAATCAGACTGAAGGTAGGACTACATATCCTTCAACTTCAAAGCAAGACAAATCATGAGAAATCTGCAACAAGACATATGACATGGAAGAAAAATGGAAATGGAACTTGAATTTTTTCAAAAAAAAAAAAAAAGAAGAAGAAGAAGAGAAAATAATTTTAATTTTTACTGAATCACAAGGCTAATCTGACTCAATCCTGAATCACCCCTCAAAACTTCCAAATTTGGGGGTGGATGCCCACTTCTCTTTGTCCTCACCATAATTTCTTCCACTTCTAAAAACCCTAAAAATAGATAATTATTAATTACCTTCTCCAGCTACTCCCAGACCCACCTCACATCTAATTTGGGGGTGGTGAAAACCCAAGTTTCTTGCTTTTTTTCCTTAGTTTTACATCTGAATTTTTTTACTATTTACTGGGTTACATGAAGAATACAGACTAGGCCTCTCATGACTTATGAAATAAAGCAAACTAAAAGTATAAAAATCACTACATAAGAAAAAAAATAATATACAAAGATATTTCCTCTACATATACAAACCATAGATTTTTTTCTTTTCTTTATTTGGGCACTATAGCTAAACCATGGATTTCCACAGTTATGACCAGTTTCTTTTTCTAGAATATATTTTTCAGTTATCATCAGGATTGTCTTTTTCTCTTTTTCTTTTTGGATGATGGGGACATCATCTAATTTGGGGGTGGATGTGGTAAGCCAATCCTGAAATTCTGAACACATCAAGAGCACAAATCACAGAAGAATAACAAGACCAAGACATCCCAGAAAGCTCCCCAGACCCTCAAACAAACCCAAACATCACTCATGGAACCACCCAAGCACACTTCACAGGGATAATATAATTTCCCACTCCCATCCCAACAGAAACCTGAAACTCCACAGCACTGAAACTCATTCCCCTCCAAACATATTCCATTCTTCTCATCCCTTGTGTTCCACACTAGTAGTAATCCCCCTGATCCATGAAACAGTTATTTCCTCCTATCTCCTTCCATGGAATATTCTGCCCTTTATTTGTTTCATACTAGTAACCTTGGGAGCATTTTCCCACTGCTTGTTTCCCCTGTTTTCTCTGGATAAATAATTTCCCTTGTTTCATACTCTTCATAGAATTTTCCACATATCTTCCAACCACAATCTGGCCACTCCCCAGAATTTTGTATATAAGGAGCTTTGTTTTTCCTCTTCATTTGTTCCCCATCAGATCCTGCCCCAGCAATTCAGATAACTGATCACCCATTATTAGCCAGGTATTTGCCCATCAACATTTGGGATACCTTGATTTGTGAAACAGTATATTTAGACTAGTAAACATAAGACATATTAGACATACCATCCTCAAGAAATCTCCAAAGCCACACCTTTCCTTAAGAGTCCATTGTAAACCCCCCCTCCGGCTGGGTTCACAAACCTCTCACACACATGTCACTCTCCCTTCTAGTTTTGTTCTTTCAGTTCTTCTTCCTGGCTCTGCAGAGAATTGCTCCCTTCCATCTCTCTGAGCCAGTTGAGCCCCAATTTCCTTCTTCTTGTTCTCCTTTCTTTCCTCTCTCTCTTTCTAGGTTGTACTGAGAGAATTGCTCCCTTCCATCTCTCTGAGCCAGAAATCAAGCCTCCCCGTGTTTGGTCTTAGAAACCTTTAGGCTCATCAGCCCGTCCCTTGCACCATACCTTGACTGATCTAGTGAAGGACACTCTCAGTCCTTACACTTTTTTTTTTCTCACACCAAACCAACCCCACTGAACCTTTCAACTGACTTAACGACTTGACTTGACGGCCTTGACTGATCCCACTCGACTGAACCTACTTAACTGCACTGACTTAACTGACCCAACTGCCCGACTGACGACTGACTGACTGTTTCGACTTACAATTAACTGACTGCTCCGACTGAACCCCCCTTCGACGACTCGACGGACCCCTTATCTCTTCGACTACTTCCTTCTTGCTTTTACTGACTACCTCCTCGCCGTATCATCTGCTTATCGGGTCGATCCATGACCACAAGGAACAACACCGGCCCCGACGAACTCCTTCCGCTAACGGACCCTGAAGCCATCATTCGAGCCGGGAACGCCGAAAACCGCCGCACCAAACAACTTCAAGCTACCTCAACTGCCCCTCGTCTACCCGACTCAACCAAAATGTCTGACGAAACGACCCCGACTCATGAAACATCGGGGTCGACTCGCACTGCGGACGCAGCGGATATGCAGACAGCCAAGGACTGGTTCAAGTCCGTCTTCAAGATCCAGCATGCAGCCATCATCGAGGCACAGGCCGACCGTCGTCAGGCCGCTGAAGATCGCCGACAGGCCCTGGAGGACCGCGGTACGGACCGACAAATCCTCATTTCCGCTCACCAATCCAACGCCGCCCGCATCGCTCGCTTGGAAGACCTCCTCCTAGCGATGAATATCAAAAACGAAGCGAATGGCCATCCAGTACAGCCCGCCCCGGGCCGAGTTGACCTGCAAAAGTTCCGTACGTCGGACGGCCCAATCTACCGGGGACCGTTCCAGGAAACCGAGCCATTCCTGCGATGGATCCATGGCGTACAAATTTTCTTCGACACTAAAGACGTCAGCAACGCGGCCGACAAGATTAGGATCATTGGCAACTTGATCGCGGAGACAAACCTACAGTCCTTCTACGCGAACGAAGCAACCGGATTCCTCACCAAGTCGTGGGAGGAATTCAAGACTCGGCTGTTTGATTTCGCTCTCCCCTCCAACTGGCGGTCGAACTTGCAACGACAGGTCCAGAAACTCGAAATGTCCTCGAGCGAAACCTTCCTCCAGTACAGTACGCGAGCACGCACGCTACAAAGCCTTTTCAACTTTGACGCCGCGGCGAGTGCGAAGCTTGGGGACCTACAATTAGCACAATTCTTAGTTTACGGGTTGACGGATGCTTTACAGGATCGGATCAACGAACGCCAGCTCCTCGAGACGGTCCCATTTGCCTATGGCCCGTTCGAGAAGCAGGCTAATACGTCCTTCCTTGCACTGCAACGCCCTGCCGGAACACCAGCCTCGCTCCGTCCATCGTCGAATACATCACCGAATCTATCCCGGGACGAATTCATCTGGCGGGTACATTCTTTCCTCGACTCACGGGGCCTCTGTCACTTCTGCAAAAAACACTGCGGCAATGTGAACGGTGGTTGCCCAGGACCTTTAAATAGGGCCCATGTCGACATCCCAGCTAACTATCAAGCCCCCACGAAACCGGCCGACTACTCAGCCCCACGCGCTTGGAGTAACCCATCCGGCCCATCGTCCACCGCAGGAAAACCCACTCAACCTCCTGCAGGTCGACCTTCAACCCGGGCCGCAAGCGTCGCAGGCGTTACAGACGTCACACCCCTTGAAGCCCAAGTCTGGGCACTACAACTGGATGCAGCAATACGGGATGACAGCCGTTGGGAAACTTACTTCGACGACGAAGGTTGCTATCCTAGTATGGATCCGGCCGCTGTGGCGGCACTCGAGGACCTTGACAAGCAACTCCTCGCAAACGAGATTGAGAAGGCCGAACAGGCCGACCTAGCAGATGCTATAGCGGGTTGCCCGGGACGCGCTTGACTTGGGTCTTGCCCCATATTCCCCCTTTTTTTTTCTTCTTTTCCATTTTTTTAATTTTTCCTTTTCTTTTCAATTTTTTTTTCTTGTTGTCCCTTTTCTCCTTCTTCAATTTTTTTTATAGGAGGGGAGACTGTAAACCCCCCCTCCGGCTGGGTTCACAAACCTCTCACACACATGTCACTCTCCCTTCTAGTTTTGTTCTTTCAGTTCTTCTTCCTGGCTCTGCAGAGAATTGCTCCCTTCCATCTCTCTGAGCCAGGTGAGCCCCAATTTCCTTCTTCTTGTTCTCCTTTCTTTCCTCTCTCTTTCTAGGTTGTACTGAGAGAATTGCTCCCTTCCATCTCTCTGAGCCAGAAATCAAGCCTCCCCGTGTTTGGTCTTAGAAACCTTTAGGCTCATCAGCCCGTCCCTTGCACCATACCTTGACTGATCTAGTGAAGGACACTCTCAGTCCTTACATCCATACTCTTATATTTTCTTGTTATCAGAGAGGCAGCCCAATATAGCACTCATCCCTCTCAAGCTCTATTCCTCCCAAGAGTAGTTCCACAACGAGGGTGAAGATGAACGTAGAGCGCAATCCGATGCAACCCAGCTCGCGAACGACCTCCCTCCCTTGAGTGCTTCTCATCAGAGCACACACAGGGTTACTAGTATACCTGCTGTGCAGAGCCTGCATGGTGATGCTCCAATCTCTCATCCACAATTGGATTTGTCCTTACCAGCCCGTCCAAACTTTGCCACCCCGACTCCCATGCACAAAGACCGTCAGTACGGCCTGTTTCGGTCAATGGCTGTGCCCAAGGTCCTTGCTTGCACACCTTGTCCATCCTTTGGCGAATTCTCCAGGGTTGATAAGACTCCTGTTGTTGACAACGGGTTCCCCAATGTACTCGATCCGGCCTATGCCGACATCCCGGACGATTCCCCTGGACGTAAAAACAGCAGAGGAGAGACATCTTATTTGACGGAAGAAGGAGATCGTTTTCTTGATTCTGTTATGGCCAGTGTCAACCAAAATAAAAATCTCACTCCTGCACAAGGAAACCCAGTCCCACCGGTACTGACCCCCCCAGCTGATAAACAACCGCCTCCTGCTATACCTACACCATGGGGCGGGTTTTTAGAAAAACCCCCCAGCAAACGGATGGATTCCGTCCCAAGCGCCCGCAACTTGGTTGCGAAGCATCCAACGGACGCTCGGGCGGGCCTGGCATCATTTGGACGCTTCAGAAAGCGTCCAAGGGATGCTTGGCAGGCGAGACCATCCAGAGGATGGTGTACAGCCCGGTGTCCATCGGACACTTGATTGGGAGTGTCCGATGGACAACAAGAAAACCATCAATCGGACACTTCTCAGAGTGTCTGATTGATGGTTTTCACCCGGGTCCGGCAGTGGAAAAAAAAGGGTCGATTGTCGAAAAATTATTCAAAAGGTGGTCGATGGTCGAAAAACGATCCAAAAATGCAGCGCGGGGTATGTAGTTCACTCTTTGACCAGTGGAATATCAAGAATCTAGTATAGTCGAGTGGCAAGGTACTGCCTCTGTGGAGTTACTGGTGGCAGCACCTGAAGGTCATGGGTTCAAACCCAGGCCTGGCATTTTTGCCCCCAAGGGCTTCTAATCCTACCATCCGATGGATGGTTTGGCCCTACCATCCGGGTTCAGCAATATGCAAGTCGCATCCAATGGATGCTCCTTGCAGGGCCAAGGTCGGATGGCATCTGGTACATCCGATTGGGTGTCCAAATGCCATCCACCACGCCCGGTGGTGTAAGCGGCAATCCGAGCATCCAGTGGTGATTCGTGAGCGCCAGGAGCGGCGGCCAAAGTATCAATTCTCTACCGTCAGACTTGAAGGGATTGAAGACAATCATAATGGGAATTTGAGAAAGAATAGAAATAGGGTGGACGACTCTGAAGAGGATGAAGCGGATGATCATGGACATTCAAAGAAATCTAGGGTCGACTTCGACTCTGAATCCGACCCTGATGCTGACGGAATTCCGGACAATGGCGAGGAGTTTGAGCCCACCCAGCAGAAGCAACAAGTAGCAGTTATTCTTGACCACGGAATTGGTCATCCGGCACCATTCTGAAGCGGCCCAACACAGGAGGCAACCCCGCGTTATCATCCCTTGGTGGACGATTTTATATCCTTGGAGTTGATGAATGTGAGCCTGGGTCTCAATAGTGACAGCAGGACACAAGGTTTTGGGGGGCACTTTTAAATGTATTTCTCAAGATAAAGGAAATACAAGTAAAAGTAGAAGAGAGGGAAGGAAGAGAAAGGAAAAGAATAGAATAATCTTTTTGTTCTTTGTTTATTTTATGAAGAAGATTAAATTATGGCAGTCTTACTGTCCCTCTTGGATGGCTGCAGACAGTCTTACTTTCCTTAGTAGGATGGCTGTTATAAGCGGAGCTAACTCTGACGCCTCCAAATCAACAGAAACTGAAATGGGTATTGACACTGATAAATCAGGTCAACCACAATTTTTTAGATCAAAGATCAAGGCTCTTTAAAGGGAAACCTATGTAGTTTTCAGTTGTACTACCAAACAGGAAGAGAAGAGATAATAGAAGCTAAGGCTTGCTTTCTTTGATCAGGGCTTTGGGTTGAGGAGGAGTGAAGAGAAACTGAGAGAGACAGAGAAGAGAAACAAGCAGAAAGATGCTAGCTTAACTTATGAGAAGAGACTTACTAATGATACCAATGACACTGATTAGTGGGAAAGGTAGGAAAAGTGAGGTCCTTCTGGGTGATAAGTGTTTGCTTGATCTGGGTCTGGTTGTTGGTGTTCTGTGTTGGTCTGGAGTCTGAAAATCCTCTGGAAGCGGAATCAACAAGCTCAGAGAGGATTTTCAAAGTTGGATTATGTAATCTGGCATGTACATGTGGTAGAGGGAGCTGAAACCTAAGGTTGGAATAATTCTTGGAGTACTGTGAGTTATTACAAAGTCAATGAAGGAATGGAGTTGGGTAAAAGTGGTCAGTGGTGACTAGGGTTAATTTTACACCAGGAATCCATTTCTGAAGTCAGAAAAGTTAAAAGTCTTAAGATAAAAAAGATATGATAATATTTTGAATAGAAATGGGCAGTTTTGGCAGTCTTTTGGCCAACTTGGTTGGCTCTAAGGCTGACAATGAAAGGGATGACCGTTCCTCGGAACCCGACTCAGGGCAGCAGCAGCCGGTTTTCTGGGGGAGGAAATAAGAGGGGTGCTGGAGGGGACATCCCTGAGAACAGATCTGGTCGTGCTCCATGTTAGTTATTGCTTCCTGAGGTATGATTAATGTGTTTTCAATAGCTGACATTTTCATTTCCATCATCCCAAGGCTGTGGAATTGTTTTTCCCTGGGCAAGTTTTGGCACCCCAGGAGGTTGATCGCTGGAACAACGAGCTGGCTCGCGGGATCCGATGGTCACACCAATCTGCCCAATCAGCACTGTTGAACATTCAGTACCTCCTCCGGCATTTGCCACCACTTCTATCTGCCCATGCGGCAATCCCAGAAGAAGATAGTCAGCAGTTTTGAAAGGATGTGGACATCACCTCCAGGATTTGTGAATCTGGTATTTCCTTTGGATACAGCTGGGTCTTTGTGGACAAGCCTGCCTACTGATGTTGAATCCATTTCATCAGAGGATATTCTCAATACTGCAGGGAATTTGTCTCTCATTACGTCTGACATGGTGGATATGGAACAAGTCCGATTGTTCCAGCTGTTGGACAAGGTAACCAAAGACCACACGCTTCTGCCACATTTGGCAACCTTCTTTGCTCCTGGGAAATCTGCATATTCTTGACTGCGGGCAGCCTTACATCAATCTGTTGAGGGACACCCAGGTGACTGAAACAGAGAATGCTATAAAACTCACTGAGGATCTTGACAGTGAATATAATAGTTTGTATTCAATGATCAAGAGAGGGAGAGAGAAGTAAGGAGCTGGTAGAAAAGCAGTAGCGGTGTCAGCGCCGGTCTCTTATGTGGCCTGGCGTTGATGGGGTTTATGCGGTCGCACTATAACTGCAGAGGCAGTCAGTGGAAGAGAACCACACCTCGACGCTGGTAAGCGGAGGGGTTAGCTCCCTGGGTTAGAGGGGACACACGCGGTATGAGCTTCGCGGTGCCGAGCTTAGAGTACGTATAACTCTCTTCTAGGCTACAGTAGTGACTTTACTGTAGTCTAGGGATGGAGGAAGATGATAAGGGTAGGAAGGAGGGATGTAATAAATTGTAATAGATTATAAAAAACCCCACTCACTTAATTTAAGTAAGGACAACGGGTTTGTATGGCAAATAATCTCTGGGGGGAAGAATCCTAGAGGGAAAGCCCTCCCCCTTAAGTATTGCAAGGCAGGGTTCAAACTGCCTGTTGGACCGGACAGGTCCACAGATGATCATTTTATGTATTTAAATCACAAATGATCAGAACATGTATTTAAATTAAGATTACATCAAAAGTGGAGGGAATGACATCATTTCTCTCTATGGGAAATCCATACAGAGAGGAATAAATTAATCAATTCCCAAAGTGTAGTAATCTCTCTAATTACAGAATATACTTAGAGAGAAAGAAGAATAAACTTTATGTACATAAGTTAGCATCTCTGTAATAAAGGAATATTAATACAGAGGAAAATACTAAGTTATTCCACGGAATTACTTAGGAGAAAAAAATATAAAAAAGGAATGAATAAAAATATAATAGAGTGTTGAAAGGGATTGAACACAGGGTGTTGGTAAGAATTGTCTTAAGACAGTTCTTAACCACTACACTAGCCTGTTTGTACTTATATGTTCACTTTGTAGACACATGGGCTATAGCCTCAGTGTCTGACAAGCGGGGTGCTTGTTAGAAGCATAACTCAATATAAGCATACGGCTACTACATACAGGTTGTACCATCCCAACACAATCTTGGGCACTTAAGAGGTTGGCGAATTTGAAAGACAGCTGGATCCCTCAAGCATTCGATGATGATACAAATG